CCTTTATTAAATTAAGAAGAGGAATATTTACCTCACACTTGGAGAATGTCTCGTAGATGTCCTTGTCTTTGTCCACCCTCCGTGTTTCCCTTAGAGCTTCGGGAAACGGTGCCTCCACTTCATGAATAACCGGGGATGGAGTTGAAATGTGAGCTTCCCCTTCCTCCGGTTGAGCTTTCTCCACAAGCTCTTCTTCCTCTTCCTCGCCAATGTGGCTTTTGGCTTTCTCCTTGGCAATCACCAATTCTTTGCCACTCCTTAATGTCACCGCATGGGCTTGTTGCCTCGGATTCGGCTCCGTTTGAGATGGAAGCTTTGTTGAATCCTTGGCTTCAAGCCTACTCACCGCACTTGAGATTTGGCTCATTTGATTCTCAAGGTTTTGGATGCTTGATTTTGTCTCATGTTGGAATTGAACCATGTTTTGTTGCATGGTTGAGACATTTGAGGTGAGTGCTCGGATCATGTCTTCGGTGGACATAGTTGAGCCTTGGCCTTGGGGTTTAGAGTACGGTTGTTTTGGAGAAAATTGGTTTTGTGGAGGGTTATTTTGTGGTGGGTTTCCTTGCGGATTCCCATATCTCAAATTGGGATGATCTCTAAACCCGGGATGATAAGTGTTGCCGTAAGAATCATACCTCTTTTGGTTTGGGAACCCCAAAGCGTTGACTTGCTCGGGGTTTTCTTCTTGAAGGCTCGGGCATGCATCGGTGGGATGGCCTTGTTGTGTGCAGATGCCGCAGACCTTGACTTCTTGGGTTTTGGAATTTAAAAGAAAATCCTTTACCAAAGAAGTCAAGCCGGCAACTTGACTTTCTAGAGATGATGTTGATTCGGCCGCCATGACTCTTTTTGTTGATGACCGCCCGTTGTGATATCTACAATTCTCGGCCAACTCCGAGATAAGATTCATAGCTTGAGAAGGAGTCTTGTTAACGATTCCTCCTCCACATGCGGCATTAATCATCCGTCTATCATCATTGCAAAGACCATCATAAAAGTATAGGATGAGGTCTTGCTCCGAATAGCCATGATACGGACAGCTTGCACAAAGTTTCTTGAATCGTTCCCAATATTCATAGAACGATTCATCATCTTTTTGCTCCACATTGCTTATTTGCTTTTTTAGAGATGAGGAGACAGAGGCTGGATAGTACCTTTCGAGGAAAGGTTTCTTCATGGCCGCCCATGTATCTATACTTCCCGAAGGAAGATAGAATAGCCAATCTTTTGCGGTATCTTTGAGGGAGAATGGAAAGGCTCTCAACTTTATCTGTTCCTCGGTGACTCCATTAGGGCACATGCTCGTGCAAACAACATGGAACTCCGAGAGATGTTTATTTGGGTCTTCTCCTCTTAAGCCATGGAAGGATGGCAAAAGATGAATGAGCCCTGATTTGAGCTCAAATGTATTACCTTCGTTGAGTGTAGGGAAGGTAATACATAGTGGTTGTTGATTCAAGTTTGGAGCTGTGAGCTCCCTCAACGTTCTTGTTTCAAGAGCCATAGTTATTGGCTCTTCGTTCTCGCTAGAACAAGAACTAGTGCTTGATGATTCCTCCGAAGAAGTATTCGGAAATAAGTTCCTAAACCTCTCGAAGGCTTGTTCCGATTCGGGATTTGTTTGGTAGGTGATTTGGTTTATAGATCGGTGTTTAACCATATACTCAAACAAAGCTCAGAAATAGGAAATAAGAATTCTTTATATTTTTATTTAATTATATATTTTTTTGATTTTTCTTGAAATAGAAAGAAAAATAATTGCCTTTCCCCGGCAACGGCGCCAAATTTGACGTGCACTTTGTCGTGATGTGCACTCAAAGTAATAATACAATACAACACAAATACGTAGTATAGTGAAGTAAGGTTCGTATCCACAGGGAAAGGAATACTTTTCTTCTTACAGAAATAGATAAGTAACAATAAGGGGGGTTTATATTTGGTTGATGAACTTTAAATTATATTTAAACACGAAGATGAACGAGTTATGCGGTTTAATTAATGAGAAGAAGACTTGGCTTTGCTTTTATCCACTTAATGAAATGTTCGTCGATCCCGGTTATATCTTTAACTATCTTCCTCTCGAATACTCAATCGAGGAGTATATCCAGTTCATCGAGGGTAGTTATTAATAACGAGACGCGTTCATTAATAAAACTTACTACCGAGTTAATATAGAACACGCGCCATATATTTACTCGGTAGTAGCAATAAAATGAAGATGAAAACGATTGAGATTGATAACCTCAACACAAGCGGCTTATTGGTTTAATCAATATAATTAATTCCCCTTGGCTTATTAACCATGAGACGCATGCATTAACAACCCAAGTTTACTACCGTGAAAGGACCGAGTTAATAACAAGCGTACTAATCGACCGATTCTAGTATTAATTAATATATGAAACAAAACTAGTTGATCCTTTAAGTATTGCTCAAAATATTAATATGTAATAGGAATAGGAATTAATTAATATTCAAGGAAGAAGATTAAAGAAAATAACTCACAACTCACAATTCATTAAGCTTCAAAGTAGCAAAACCAAGATGGAAGAGTTTAGCTCCTCATTTGGAGACTAAACATGATAAAAATATAAAGAAAGAACTTGTCTAAACTGAGCTTTGAAGTATATAGGAATTGGTGATCTTATTGTGGAGGAAATGGGGTGTATTTATAGGCTTTTTAGGCCTGCAGGGTCGTGTACCCGATCGGGTTTTCAGCCCACTCGATCGGGTACAAGATGTGGCTTCGTCGAAGCTGGAAAATGGGGTCATACCCGATCGGGTCTGTCGGTCACCCGATCGGGTATGGACACCCGAACGTGTTAAAATCTTCCCGCATGATGCCTTGTTCCCGGATTTGATTTGATTCGAAATTTCAGAAGGGGACCCGATCGGGTATAGGTCATACCCGACCGGGTACAGACCAAAATCGGGATCCTCCATTTTTTTCTTGCATTCTTGCACCTTCCTTGCACTTGTGATGTTCACCAATGGTCTCTAAAGTGTACTTGGACCTGTTTGAGCTCGGAATAAACCTAATCTAAACATATTACAAATATTTTACAAGCTAAACTATTTACACCAAAAGTGTGTAATTTCCAACGTAACAATCACTCGAAACTAATTAAAAGTACAAATTTAAATATGGAAATTACATGAATGTCAAGGTCACAGTGAACTAACTCTAGCCTTTCATGTGCTCTAAATGATGTTGTCTGAGGGTATGAGGATCTATGTTGTTTGCCTAGCATGCAGCCATCACATACTTGATTAATTTGTGCAATTTTTGGCATTCCTTCTGCCATTGCATGGTTTGTCATCTTGTTTAGAGCCTGAAAGTTTAAATGTCCATACCTTGCATGCCAAAGCCAATCTATGCTTGATGTCCTACTTAACAAACAATTCTTTTGAACTACTCTGAGATAGATCATAAACAATTTGTTCTGCTTCCTATTCACCTTAAACATGAGTTGATTTTCATTATCAAACACACTCAAAACACCTTTCTTTAATAGCACATGACTTCCCAACTCATTCAGTTGCCCAAGACTGATGATGTTGCTTTTGAGTTTAGGGGTATAATACACATTGGGTAAAGAAATAAGCATACCTGTCTGGCACTGAAACACAACAGTCCCTATTCCTTTGATATCAACTGTAGAATTGTCACCAAATTTGACCTTTCCTTGTATACTGTTTTCAAGACTTGTAAAATGGCTCTTGATTCCATTCATGTGATTACTCGCCCCTGTATCCAGGTACCACCAAGTCATTGAGTCCTCTTTGCTTGCTTGTGTTCCCATTTCTGATGATATGTGTGACTTGGTGAGTTCACATATCTCAATCATCATAAGTGAAGGTGCATCTTCAGCTTCTTCTTCTATCAAGTTTGTTTCCTCTTCCTTTTCTTCTTGTGTACATTCAGAGGCAAAATGCCCCATTTTGGCACAATTGTAACACTTGATCTTTGACTTATCAAACTTTCGTTTTGATTGAGATGGATCTTCTTCAATTCATTTCTGGTCCTTCCTTGACCTCTTCCTCTTCCACGACCCCTGCCCCTTCCTCTAGAATTGTTTTCTCTATTTGTGTTGTTTTGAGGCCTGACATCTTCCCTTGCTTTCCACTCTGCTCTGGTGAGCAATACAATTTCATCATTTGCATTAGTTTGTCCCTGCAGCCTCTCTTCATGTGCCTTTAAAGATCCTATTACTTCCTCAGAAGTTTTAACTTTGAGATCACAAAACTCTTGGGTGATACGGCCCTCACTAGTTTCTTAACCACCTTTTCTTCCTCAACTTCATTTCCAAGCCCTTGAAGCTTGGTCACAATGATTTTAAGCTTTCCAGAGAAATCATCTACACTTTCATTATCTGTCATAGTCAGACCTTCAAATTCCCTCAGCAAGGATTGTGTGCGAACTTCCTTAACTTTTTCTGCTCCCAGATTCATTGTCCTCAGTATATTCCATACCTCTTTCGTTGTTCTCTCCTATACCTTGGTAGATGGCAGCCAGAGCCATCTTATCTTTCCTTTTGTCTACTGGCCCCTTATCTTCCACAGCATCCCACACTCCTTGGGCTATCATAAAAACTTCCATTTTTGTGGCCCATGCTGCGTAATTAGTTTTATTCAACATTGGATACTTCAGGTTGATTGTACCTTCTTTGCTTTGGTACTTGCTGGTTTCTTCTTCATCATGATTAAAAGTACCATGCGTACCTCCAACCCCTTCGCTTGTCGATGAAGATGTACTCATGAGTCTCGGATTGCCTTAACCGTGAGCTCTGATACCAAATGTAGGACTTACTTTCTTCTTGTGCAGATGTATACACACTGCATGCTACGTATTTAATTGTGATGAACTCTAGCTATCATATACAAGATATGAACAAGCATTATGTAACTTTGATAGATGCATGATATCTTAATTAATATTATGCATTCATGAGGGAGGAAAAACCATCTCGTTTTGCCTCTTCCACTCCATACTTTATAGACAGTGTAAGGGGGAAGGGGGTTAACCCGAGTGGACTAAAAAACCTCCTCATTTCATGCTACACGTACACCACATCTAAGCTACACGTAAAGACACAACAAAGGCTATTTACATGCACATAAAAAAAAGAATTAATTCCACTTTAGGTCCTCCAAGTTTTGTGTCATTTCCATATTTAGTCATCGTCTTTCACTTTATCCATTTTTGGTACCTGACTATTGTTTTCTTGACCATTTTCGGTCCATCTCTGGGCATTTTTACTACCGGAAAAGGACTATATATGGTCAAGAAAACAATAGTCAGGTACCAAAAATGGATAAAGTTAAAGACGAGGACTAATTGTGGAATTGGTGCAAAATTCGAAGGACCATAAGTGGAATTTCTTCTATAAAAAAATACTCCCTCCGTCCCTAATAACTTTGCCAAGTTTGACCGGCACGGGGATTAATAAAGTAAAAATTGTGTGGTTGAGGTTTGTGCAGAGGAGAGAGAATTAACTGGAACCACAAATTCTTTACTTAAATGGGAAAGTGGCAAAGTTAATGGGACATCCAAAAAAGGAAAGTTGGCAAAGTTATAAGGGACGGAGGGAGTACTAAATTAGCTAAAGTGATTAACAAGTTTAACTTCCAACACTTGCACTAGCCATTTCTTACCACGTGAAGGCTATAGGTGACAGCTTGACAGACATGATTTGACAGACCCATACCTTATCCAGTTGAGATGATTTGAATGGAAAGCCGTTCACACCAACATTGCAGACTGGTCGGGAAAACCTATTTAGAAGAAGGAATGTCACTTATAACGGGCCCCGCGAAGAGGCCACCAGAAGTCCAAACAACTATCATAGTCCCGAACGGGAGCCTCGTCCGGCGGCTCCCAGGAGAGTTTTTCACCCGATGGACGGATGAACCCAGACGATACGTATTACCTGAATGGTATTTTCTCGCAATAAGGGTATGTTCGCAGAAAACGAACATGATTCCTTTCCAAACGGGGGGAGCATGAACGGGAAGGTGGTCCCGAACAGCGGTCCTCCAGATTGTAACCACCGCCCGAAGATGCTGAATTCGAATGGGAGATTCCCTTCACGCAGCAACACCAAGCATCAACTCCTCTGGACATCGGTTGGGGTAAGCAGCTGTACTCTGTACAGGGTGACCGGCTCTATAAAAATATGTCGTTCGTGATTGAATTGACCCGAACGTTTTTTCTTGATGGCTTGAGGTGTGAGCTGCTAGAATAGGGGAACCTCCCAGAACTCTAAACATTCCCAGGCAGCTCGAACCTGGGCGGGGAAACTTAGAACCTGCAGCACCCAGTTCGCCGAGGGGCCCACCTCCCGATCGAGGACCTCAGAATAACAAACGCTAATAGCAGGCAAAGCATCATTGATTAACGACTAGAAATTATCAACCTCAGTGACAACCTTTGACATTCAGACAGAACAACCCAGGAATTGCAGGCCATGGAGGAGCAGGCATGGTCGATGTCACTTGAGAAAAGTACCCGGTCGGCTCAAGCAAGGAGGTACACTTACCGAAGTGCATAGCTACAGGTCGTTCGCTATCCGGCTCAAGTTCTGCACTTTGCCGTTCGGCAATCTGTCGTTCGACATCGGACTGACTGGCCTAAGAAACCTTTTTTTTTTTTTTGGGAGCTGGGACTGATCTGACCTTTTGTATAAACGCCTGTGCGGCCCTGCCTTTGGGAGGTGGGCTGGTCTTTGCCAAGTGAAGAACCGAGAGGCATCTAGAATGCATTTGGTCGTTGGGTCCCTTAATCAGTTAATTGGATACGAATTGAAATAGGAGCGTTATATCACAACCTTGGATTATTAAGGCCCAAACTTCTCTTATGGTTGTCTACCAGGAAGACTGAGACGGCCATGCCGAACGGAAAATGTTGCATCTATCTCAAGCCTCTATAATTTCGGCCATCTCCAAAGAGCTAAGTATCACACACTTTACTCTTTTACTTAAATTATATATCATGCATTAGGTAGTATTATTGCTACCACATCGTTACATCACCGTTGTTTATTAGGATTAAATATTCCTAAAATCACCGATGATAAGTTACCATCATTTTAAATTAGATGATTTGTTTAGTGGGCTGACTGGCCAACCCACGATCGGGTGTAATTGTGTGATCGTAGTGTCCCCGAAGGGTATCACTCCGGCGACATGTTTTAATACAGTGAAGTCCCGCTAGGCACCGGGCGCTAATACATTGAAGTAGTAATTGTTGTTAGTAGAAAATTTACGAAGGAAATAAAATTCCGGAACAAAATAAATGTTGAACAAAGTTTTATTATTGAAATCACCAAGAATTTAATTAAATGGTTGGTTCTAATGGGCGCATGAATCCGCCACCGATCGGCTCAAATTAGCTGATTGAAGCGTCTCCAAGGACGTTGCCCGATGACGTATTTTAATTTTAAGACCTCTCATGGTCTCGTTCGGCATTAAGTGCCCGAACGGCAATTGTACCCAGTACGGGGCAAAGTACGTACTAAGACCAACCCGGCAAACCACTAGGTGGTTCCAGTCATGGACTCTATGCAATTCGAGAAATGAATCTAGGCCGAGGGTTATTATTACCAGCTCGGTCGGTAGTCACGAATAAAAATTAATAATAAAAGGAAAATATTATGCATGTGTGTATATATACTTTGCATATATTGTTCGGCCGTACGGCCGTATTACCATGCTGATTGTGCAGTGAAATTCGTTCGATATTCTTGAACGGGGAGATCATGAAGCACAGAGATGTTCATGATGATTCAGCATGAAGCGCATGGACGTTCATGACTGGAAACGAAAAAGAATAAAATTCATTCAGAACCGTTCGGTCAGCTCGAACGGGGAGATCATGGAGTACAGAGACGTTCATGACATACGGCATGAATTAAAGCACAGAGACATTCATGACCGGCAAAAAGAAATCACAATCATTCGGAGCCGTTCGGTATGCTCGAGTTGGGAGATCCATGATATTCGGCATGAAGTGCAGAGACATTATGATCGGTAAGAAGGAATCACCACATTTAGAGTCATTCGATCAGCTCAAACGGGGAGATCATGAAGCGCAAAGACGTTCATGGTCGATCGAGAAAAGGAGGGACTACAAGTATGTATGTACCATGACACATGGAGAGGAGATCATCACAACCAAGGGCAGTGAGACAAGTATCTTCCACCAGGAGGCCGAGGGCCTCAAGGAGACCATCAGGTCCATCACAGCCGGAAGACGAGAATCACGACCGTCGATCGTTGACGAGGATGACTCAAGACCGTTTGGGGGCTCCGGATCCGATCATTGACCACTGACAAGGATGACTCAAGAATGTTCACGGACTCTAGGTTCGGGCGTTGACCATGGACGAGGATGACTCAAAAGTGGATGATGGGGATTCCAAAATGGCTATTGACCGTGGACAACCCCGAACCACTGAGGATCCCGGATCAGGGCATCGACCACGGACAAGGAGGATCAAAGATCCAGTCATTGACCGTAGACGAGGATGAATCTCGAACGTTTGAGGATCCCGAATCCGGTCGTCGGTCGTGGACGAGGATGACTTTGAACGAAGACACAGATCCAAGGAAGTCCGAGGAACAGCACGAGCAAGAGTATACTTTCTTGAGCAGATTCACAGGCTCACTACTCAAGAAACTGGGGGACTTGTGTTGGGATATATTATCCCGGTCTACTATTGTTCAGAGGCCCAAGATACCGCCCCGGTACGGGGCCCAATCGGTGTGGTCCGTTTCAGCCTAACAGGCCCATTCCGGCCCAACACGGCCCATTTAGGCCCATTGGCTCAAATGGGGGAAAACCCTCACACCCCTCCCCCATCTATAAATAGGAAGCAAAGCTTCCTACTAAAGGATCCCTCTTTCTGGCTCTTCTCTCCTGGAGAGAGCTTCTCCTTCCCATGTATTGTTTCTTCTTCTTCTTTGTAGAATAGCTAAAAGACTTCCATTGATGGAGTGCAATCTTTGTATTATGTAAAATGGTGAGGAGAGCTTATTAATGAGAAAGAGTGGGCTTGGACGTTAGCCTAAAAAGTCCCGTGGTTTTCTCCCTTTCCGGATTTCCACGTAAAAATAGCTAGTTCGTACACTTTTATATATTTATCCATTTTAATACCAAATTCATCGTCCCTAATACCCAAAGTTTATGTTGGGCTTTCGGATCTACGGGACAAAACCTCAATAATATGGTACCTTATGGGTACCATAGAATCTACCATACATATAAGAATGGGGGAAATGGCCCTGCCAGCCTCCCCTGTCCCCATATGAGATACTCCGTATGAGAATTCAGAGTGTCATGCGGTCATGCCTCTCTTTTACTTTTAAGTCCATCTATTTTTTTTTGTTTATTGTTAATTTGTTGGAACAAAAACTTTAGAGCATCTCCAATAATATGTTATGAAGTATTTACTTTGGAGATAATTGCATGTCTAACTAGGAGCTTGTAAAAAGTGCAATAAATCCCAAACACAAGATACTCATCCCAAACGTCGGCACTTCCCATTGGTCCCCATCAACCTACCATGTCTGCGTTTGAAGCTCGCCAGATGCTGCTCAAAGTCAACTTTTTTTTTTACATTTTCCTCTCCATATGAGGCTGCGGCGAAGAGGGCTTCAGCGACAATGACAAAACTACATGATGGCGGAGGCATCTTCTTTCATCTACATTGACTCACGCTGGATTTGAAGACGGCGACCAGTGGTGAGTAAACTCTTCTTCCTCTCCTTCGTCTACAACAACTCGCGTCACGCCAGATCTGGAGCTCCAGATTCTTCATCAATTTGGGCATTGCCACTCAAACAATCGATTTGGGGCATTGATTGTGTAAGGGATGGGGGCTGGGAAGTTGGGGGAGAGGGCTGGGCAGGGGTGGCGGAGGACAGGGGTGGCGGAGTGTTAGTACCCAATTTTAATAAGATTTTGATGATGCCACTATACTAAAAGTCAATATGTCCTGCGTTCTTACTTTAATTAAAGGTTGATCAGACTCTCAAACTGTGACCAATTAAAATGTACAATTTTTGTACTAAATAAATTTTTACTGGAAAATTAAAATGCAATAAGGTATTCTTTTTACCTTAAAAGGACATTCAGATCCAACCAGTATAAATTTATTTAGTACATAAAATTATCAAGTCACATAATCAGCTGATCAAGAAATTACAAATTTATTTGGTACATAATAAAATAGAACACGGCATACACACACATACACTGCATGTGTATGATTGAAGACAAAGACAAGAAAAGCATTAAATGCTCAACAGTACGAAGACCAAAGAAGATGGGTCGCACACATCAAATCGTGAAGATTGAACCTTGACTTGATCTTCTAGCTACTAATCAGTGAAGACAAAGGAAATTTCCAATATCAGCTCCAGCACAAGAGAACAAGAGTACACCTCATTCTACGAATAGGATTGAATCCTCTCAACCAACGGAGGAGATCAACCTACTGGAGAAGCCTATAAAAGAAGGCATAGGCATGAGTTCTAAAATCAAGTTTTTGAGTCTTCTAAGTCGAGTAATCACTCTAAGTATTCACGAGCTATCAAGCAAAAGAGAAAGTGCCAATTCAACTTTGCTCTCTGCTTAGACTCATGCTTCACTAAGCTCTAAGATTAGATCAACAACTGTCATATTTGAAGAGCTTAGTTCATAGTTGGAGGTTAGAACTTTCTTGTAATCACAAGTTGTTGTAAACACTTAGGAGAACGGTTGTTCAGATCCTAAAGTGCAGTTAGATAGAAAAGAGTACCTTTTGAACCCCACTGGTTCAATAGAGAAAAGTCTAAGGACTGAGTAACCTTGAGTGGTGCTATACTCATTGTGAAAAACCTTCAATCTAGGCCTAAGTGTTGTAAAGGCTGGATTGACACTAAGTGTATTGGGCTTAATACTTTAGTGAAATCCATCTGAAAGAGGGTGGGACTGGATGTAAGAGGATTACACCACCTCTGAACCAGGATACATCGTGTGTTGATTTTATGTTAGTCAACAAAGCACACAACCAACACTTCTCACAAAAAGATTGGAGTTTGCCAGCAGCATCCTAAGCAGTTGCCTTAACAGACCTAACTGCTTATCCTACTGCTTAATTACTTACTTTCTTTGAGATTTTTTTTTTCAAGAAACGTGTACAAATATCACTAAAAGGCCTATCAGGTCATTTTCCAGAAATTCATTCTCAAGTATAGCAGGTGCCTCAGCAGTCCCCTAGTGTCCATCCAACTGCTGATCCCTCTGCTCACAAACACTTGTTTTTCTTAAACATCTCAATATCACTGGACCTTCATAACATTACCAACGAGGAAGTTGACCAAACTGCTCTGTGAAATTCATCCTCTAAACCAAGCAGGCACCTCAGCAGTGCCCTCATCACCAATCAACTGCTGAGACCACTGCTCCAGTAAAACTTCTAATTACATATACTAAAGCACATTTTCAAAAGCCCTCACTATTCTTAGCAACATTTCATCATCACCTTCTTCAAACACCCAATATTTTCTCAGCAGTTGCCTCAGCAGTCTCCTGCATTTCAGCTAACTGCCAACTCAGCAGTTGCCTTAGCAGTCGCCTACCCATCATCCAACTGCCAAGCCTACTGCCCTTCCATAATTAGTCTAAACATCACCCAGATTAGAAAGTTATCTTAAACTGAGTTTCTAGAGGTTAAAGACTTCCGTTGTGCATCTATTAATCTCCCAAAAGATTATAGATCAACTCATCTAGAAGGGAAAAGTTCTTAAAGACGAAAAAGCTATAAAAGTCTATTCACCCCCCCTCTAGACTTTTACCTCTATCCGGGACCATCAAGTGGTATCAGAGCAGTGTGTTCTTAGAGTCAATTTCTGACTGCTTTTGAACTAAAAATCCAAATCCACTTGTCTCCCAAAACTTTCTAGAAATGGACAATCAACTTTCCAAAAATCTCTTGTTCAATTTAGACAAGTTTGATGACTGGAAAATTAGGATGAAAGCACATCTCAGTGCTTTGCATGATGAAATGCTGGAAGTGATCACTGATGGACCTATCAAAATTATGAAGGTCATCACATCCAGAACCACAGAAGGAACTGATGATGTATACATTCCTAAACCAAAAATGGAATGGACAACTGAAGATAGGAAGAGGAACAATCTTGACAATGTTGCAAGAGATATTCTCTTCAAAGCAGTAGATGAGTCCATATTTCCTAGAATAAGGAAATGTGAAACTGCTAAAGATGTCTGGGATGAACTAACAAAAATAGGAGCAGGAGATGAGCAAGAAAAGGACAACAAACTGACCATTGCCCACAAGAAATTTGAAGATTTCAAAATGCTGCCAAATGAATCTATTCATGAGATGGAATCTAGATTCTTGAAAATCATAGCAGAGGTCTCAGACCTAGGGAAAGTTCTCTCCCAAAAGGAAACTTCTCTCAAAGTTTTGAGAGGTCTGCCATCAAAGTGGGATATGAAGGTTACCGCTATGAGAGACAGCAGAGATCTGAGATCCCTGTCAACTGACAAGCTTTTCAGTGATCTCAAGGCTTATGAATTTGAGATGAAGGAAATCAGAGAAGAGAAGGAAGAAGAAATAAAGACATTAGCTTTAGTGTCTGAACCCAGCTCATCAAGATCTACTGAGAAATCACTCAATAATCTTCTCACTGATGAGCAATTTGCAATGTTTGTGAGAAAATTCAAAAGATTTATGAAGAAGGAAGGATCTGCCACAAAGAAGCCATTCAATAACTTAGTCAGAAAGCAAGGGAGATTCCAATCAGGTGAGAACACTATTCTATGTTACAATTGTAGACAGCCAGGACACTACAAAAACGAGTGTCCTCTTCCATTGGCACACAAGTATCAAGGGCAGCATACTACTGCTCAAAAGAATGGACACAAGGACTACAAAGGCAAACGTCAAGCCTTTGTAAGTGAAAAGAAAAAAGAGGAACCCCAATCTGAAGATGAAAGTAGCTCAAGTGATGAAAGCTCTTCATCAGAAAGCTCAGAGGAAGCACTTCTATGCCTGGGATCCTGGCAGGTGACTGAAGAAAACAGCAGTTGGCTCGCTGGAGAGAACAGCAGGTGGCTCAGTGAACCTTCCACCAGCTCAAGTGAAAATAATGAAAGCTGCTCTCCCAAATGCCTAATGGCCAAGGACCACTTCAATGATGTTGAGGTAACTTCCTGCTCTTCCTATAGCTCTAGTGATTCTGGACCAAACAATATCACACTAGAATCTTTGTTGCAAGATTTCCAAAAGGTCCAAAATCACCATGTTCTCTTAAGATCAGAAAATGATAGACTAAAACAAGACATAAAGGTTATTCATGCTAAACTGCTAAATGCCTTAACCAAAAATAATGTCTTAGAGGAAGAGAACAAAGAGCTGAAAAATAAAATGAATAACTTTAGTATGGAAAGTAAGAATTGTAATCCTACTGCTAAAGTTATTCTAAATAGGAAGAGAAGAGGTCTCGGCTATGTATCCCCCACCAAACTCACTCAAAGTTTACCCTTCAAAAACCATCAACAAAATACAAGAAAGCTAATCTACAAAAAAATCCACTCCCCAAATGTTCCCACAAGAAGGAACCAACCTGCTCCCAAACCAAAGTTCAAACCCCTGTATAAATCAACATCTCCTAACCATCAACACACAAGAACCCGTTGGCAACCAACAAATAAGACCAACCACAGCCAAAATACCAAGCAGACCCCTCAAACCAATGATCCATTTCCCACATCAAGAAGGAAAAGGATTAATAAATACATAGCCATTCCATATGATTACAACACCTCAAATGGCTATAGACCCATCTGCTTAGGGTTAAGTGGTTCTAGATGGACATGGATGCCTAAACTTAGACAAGGGAAGTTGCCCACTAACTTGTGGGCTACTGCCCAATCATGATGAATACAGGAAGGTGCTGGAGCAGTGGACTCACAAACATGGTACATAGACTCAGGCTGCTCCAGGCACATGACAGGCAGCAGGAGGCTCCTGTCTAACTATATTGCAAAGGAAGGACCCAAAGTAACATTTGGGAATGTGGAAAAACAAGGA